AGGGAATGCACTCATTTACCCTCAAGAGCCATGGCACAGCCATAAATCTATATGACTGTTTTGCTCTTCACAGTCTGGAAAGATGGCAAAATCAAAGCCAAATGAATTGGGTGTTACTGTGATGCTGACATTGTGTGCCTTGTAAAAGCCACAAATATATTCTGCTGCTCTGAGTCATGGGTAGGCGAATATCTGGCATCAGGGCTCCTGGCCAGCTGATGTCTCTTCACCGAGCACAGTTTTTATCCTAGAGGACAATCAGATGGGGAAAATCAGAGCATTGTGGGAGGGTGGCACTTGTACCCTAACTTGAGGCCTTGGACGCCATTGTAGACTGGGTCAGCTCTCCAAAATATTTTATGCACTTTTCTTTCTACATAAACACATTTTAAAATACTAGTGTGCACTTTTAAAACTAATTTTGCTGTTAGGTGCTTCTTGGTGGAACACACCGTGATCTTTCTTGTTTGATTGCTCTGGGCACATTGGCAGACAATTTCCTCAATGTCATAAAGAAAGCTGCTTTGTTGGTATCTAGAGGGACAGATATTGGGGAAGTAAATATTCAAATGTTCAGCACGTCTCAACTTGATGTCACTAACAAGTCTTGACTATTGTTTTTTTTGCCCCACTCCTGCTAAGCACAACCTACTATCCACAGACAGATTCCCTTGGTGTCTCCTCCCTTTGTTTCTTAGCTTCAAGGCTAGCCTCAAATGCATACTTTCATTAGCTTCCCTTCATAGAATTAAAACCCTCCTGTAATACTAAAATTTCTAACTGCCAGGGCTGCCCTAGAATCAATAGCCAAGTGTCCTGTGACGATGCTCCTGGGAGGGACAGAGACAAAATGATGCTGATAATTGTGTGCCTCAGTGTTCTTTGGCATCAGGGGCTCACTGATCAGAAGTGAAAAGTGTGTCAGCATTTGCCCTCATTCTACTGCTCAGCGTAGTGCTTCTGACAAGCAATGAGTCTTCATATAAGTTGTTTTGAGGACTTGAGCAGAACACTTTATATCCATAAATCAAAGGACAGGGCTGCCTAGATCCTACTATTTAGGAATAAGTGGAATTGAAAATGAAATGCCTAGTAATGAACACTTAGCTGAAAAGGTTAGCAATTTGGACAGAGAGTAGAAGATGAGAGAGTGACGACTAGATGATTTATTTAATGGACAAAATGCCTAATTTTGCAATTTAACACCATTTCCCTTTGTTCTGCTCTTAGGCGAGATGGAGAACAGTTGGCCAGTACCACCTGCGTAAGAATCCATTATACTCTTGAGTTCAATTAATAAATTTCTCCAAAGCCTTTTCTGCATTAGAAAAAGACCAATTCCTTTAATCTTTCCAAAGTGGTAAATCAAGCCACCAACCAGCACAGGATTCAAAATGTTTTCTGAGGATGGTTTGTTTCTTATACTAGAGGCCAGAACAGAAACTTTATCAACTGTGTGCATGGTGGGAGGAAGCAGGGCGAGATTTACTGTCAGTCAGGGGTGTCCAAACTTTTGGTGTGTCTGGGCCACACATTAAACACATTGGGTGCTCAATCACAAAAAAATCTCATAATGTTTTAAGTACACTTACAATTTTATGTAAATTGTAAATTCATAGCCATTCCAGGCTGCATGTGGCCCACAAGCTGCAGGTTGGACACCCCTGGATGGAGGTGGAAATGACAAATGTGGAAATTCCACCTATTCCAGCTATTAGGTGGGTAGGAAACTAAGAAAACCCAATCCACTGGGCCTCATCAGAGAAACAGGAATCCTAGTGAATCTGAGGTTTTGGGAAATAATTACTGAAAAGATATAAAGATCCAGAGCCACTTCAGGTAATATTCATCTCGCCTCCCAGCAGCTGGACTTGGGGCTCCCTACCTTTCTGTGCCATTAATACTATTCAGCCGTTAACATGACTGGGTTGCATGGATCTGCTGCTGCTTCTGTGACTCGTTAAACAACTGCTTTTTCTTTTGCTACTGGTAAAATTCCCAAAGTGTCAATGATTAACCAGTAAACATTTGTAGACCATCAATTGGATTATATAATGTTAGCTGTCCTTCAGTCAGATGTTCATCCAGAGTTCAATCTGTAATAGGGTCACATGGTACTTAGTACACCTCCACCAGTAGGGGGCTTCCTAGGACTTTTCTCGCAGAGTGGGACAGGAAGCTACTCAAGAACTGTACTGAGCCAGCCTAGTAGGATTGGTTTAGATGGTTAGTGGAAGGGGGAGAACAACTTTCCTCTGTTGCCATTCCATCTAAACACATCCTTAGGCTTACAAATGCCTTTTTCTGTGTCAATGGCTACCTCACAACTAAACAAATGTCAAATGCTAGAAATAGGGATCCTTGGTTACTCACATCTCTCCACATGAATCTTCTCATTTTTAATAATCTTTGTGTTTCTGGGCACTTACTTTTTCACTTAGTTATGTTTCTCAGTTTCTTGCATGGCAATTGATTTATTTTAGTTTCCTCTCTCCTATGGAATCAATTTCAGAAATTTGTGATATTCTACAAAATCTTTTATCACTTGAATTTTAAATGCTTTTAGATAGAATTTTGTGAAGTCCTTCTTTATGCTGGTTAAATCCCCAACATTTCAGATTTATTTATCAATTTCATAAATGTTTAATGTTATAAAGTTTTCTCTTTTGTTTTCCTTAATTTTGCTCCTTTTTAACTTATTGAATTAAATGCTTGGTTCACTTAATTTTATTTCTTTTATATATAAATAAGATTTAAAAACATTTATGAATTCTTAAAAATACCAGTTATATTTTTATCTGCTGTCCTGAATGAGTGTTCATGATATATTGTTACCTGTAAAGGCACAGTTAAGGGGTTATATCCTTAAAATTATTAATCCTATTCTACATTATTAATATGTTAGTTATAGTTGCATACCAATGTAATATTACTCACAAACTTCATGAGATTGAGAGGGAACAACTGACACATATGAGTTATTTTAACAACAACAGGTGTCGTCTTTGTTAAGCATGTCCTTTAGTTTATTCTGGGTTTGGACCGTCACCCTTCAGCCACTGCGCATTCATGACCTCGCCGTATATGATCTTGGCTGTGAGACCTTTCAGAAAGGCCACCTGGGCCCAGAGACTTCCTCCTCTCTTCATCTCACACTGACTTTGGTGTCCACAGTTTCCTGAGTTCTTATCACACTTTGTCACTTTTTTACTATTTTTCTAATTATTGAAGTAACTGTTTATTGTAGAAGTAAAAAACAAAACCAGACATACAAAACAGACATACAAGAGAAAGTTAATCAAGTATCACTGCCTGCTTGGAATAATCTAATAACTTGATGTGTACATACTTTCCTTTGTTATTATATGAATTTGTACAACCACATTTAAAAATATTGTTATGTTTATTTTCAAAAAGTAGAATTGTGAGGCACATTATTTTGTTACCTGCTTATATCACTTAGTAATATATTATGAACATCCCTTCAGGTCAATAGATATAGAAGTAATGATATTCTTGATTCGTTTAAAAATTTAATTGTGGTAATATTTACATATCATAAAAATTGCCATCTTGACCATTTAAAAGTATACAGTTTACAGTACTCAGTGTATTTGAATTACTGTGCAACCAATTTCCAAAACTCTTTTCATCTTACAAAATCGAAACTCTATACCCATTGAACAGCTCCGAATTACCACATCTCCCAGCTGGTAGCAACCAGCATTCTACTGTTCATCTTCTAACCCTATGTTTAACTACTCTGGGTACCTTGTATAAGTGGAACCGTACAGTATTCATCTTCGTGACTAGTTTATTTTACTTAGTATAATATCCTCAAAGTTCATCCATGTTATAGCATATGCCAGCATTTCCTTCCTTTTTAAGGCTGAATATTATTCAACCATATAGATAATAGCCACATTTTGGCTATTGTGAATAATGTTTCAGTGAACATGGTTGTACAAAACTCTCTTAGAAACTCTGCTTTTAATTCTTCTGGGCATATATCCAGAAGTAGAATTGCTAGATCTTATTACAACACTATTTTTTATTTTTTTGAGGAGTCAATATATATTTTTCCATAATGGCAACACCTTTTTACATTTCCACTAACAGTACACAAGTGTTCCAATTTCTTCAGTAACCTACTCTTTTGGTAAACTTCATTTTTACTACAAAATCTTTTATTACAAAATCATAAGCATGTACCCTAATTCTATAATGTGACAACATCATACTCAAGCATACCATATGACATTTAAGGTGAAATGTTCAAAGTAAAACTGTAACTTATTACACCCATATGATTACCCTACTAACTGCACTCAGGCAGGCCTTGCTTCTGCTGTACCCTGTATATACATGAAGGGGGCTAAAAAACCCCCAGAATTGTCTTCCAGAGGGCTTGCCCCTTGTGGTACAAACTTTCTCCACTACAGGAGTGTTCTAGGAATCCACCTGTATCAGTGTACCAGCTGGCATTGTTGTGAGAGGCTTGATTCAGCTTCGGCAAATTTTTTGGAAGACTCTTTTAATGCATTTGTCCATTTCATGATGGGTAATTTATCAGCATACCTGCCCACACTGTGCGGAATGCTCAATAGTTTTTCGACTAAACGACATGATTGCCATGCCCCACCTCCCTATTTACCCATCTCACCCCAAGTAATTTTTTTTGTTTGCTTTCCTGGATGAAAAAAATTCTCAAAGGGAAACACTTTTCTGATGTGAAAGAAGTGAAACAAAAATGACAGAAGTGCTACATGGCATCAAAATTGATGAGTTCAAAACTTGTTTTGAGCAGTGGAAAAAACGTCTCAATAGGTGTATTGCGTTAAGTGGAGAGAACTTTGAAGGTGACAAAAGTTTAAACATGTAGAAATAAATACACAATTTTAATAAATAAACTACATGTTTTGGGGGTTCCCTGTATATTGGCATGTTATTTTTGTTGTTATGTTATTATTATTATTTGCATGTATGTGCTTTTCTTCCAGTTACTGTGAACTTGTACAGGGAGTTTATGAAGAGATAGTGCTGTTTGGTTTGGGCCTTGAAAGACAGCTGAGATATCATCTGGTAAGATGAGGTGTATAACCTCACCCCTTCCGGCAGTGCAGCTGACCCTGGGTGTTGGGTCTCTTCACATGCTATTGCCATAATCGTTATGCTTCCCTTGAGCCTGATATCACACTATAATAGATTGTGCAATTTAAATTCAATAAATCTTAATCTTTGAAAAATACCTAATTAAAATTGTGTTCATCTCCCTAGAAAAAGGCACAAATGTATTCAGTATTTACCTTCACATTTGGTGGTTTTAATGTTCCTTGAATCTCTCATGAATTCCCCTCGAGGATTCCCTGGGTTAAGAACACCTGCTCCAAAATCTGACTCAGCTCTTTCAAATGGGTAAGCAGGAATGAGTGAAACTATTCAAGCTTGTTACTTGTTCTGCCTTCCCAACACTGCTCTCTCTCTCCATATCTTTGTGCTAATCTTGATCTTCCCCATATGCTGCCTCTTCTCTTCACTGGTCATTGTTTACATTTTGTAGAACACACCCTTTAATTTATTTTTATGTTGCTAACATATGGTGCTCATTCTGTCTATTATCTATTAATTCTCAAGACATCTCCAACGTAGGTGGGGAGTCTCACATCATCAATCAGATTCAGTAGAGAAGGCACAACTGCCTCACAGTGATTGTCAGTAATGCTTTGCTGTGAAATAGATTATTCACTGTGGCTAGACAGCCTTGAATACTATCAGGTATTTCTGTTTTATCTTAAAAATTTCTCCTTTTTCCCTTGCTCCAGTCCCTTTATTTTTGATTTTCAAAGATGTCAGTTGAAATAGAAGTGGGAATTCAATAACTGGTACATGACATCCCCAGTAAAATGGGCCTGTTTTTTGTGACCTAGCTCTGAATGAACTATACTGTCATTGTTGTATTCCATGTATTCAAAAGAGAATGTTTCTCTTAAAAAAAGTAGTATTTACACTTAGAAACAAGAAAAGTAGTCATAAAAAGTAAAATCCATGAACTTTCAGCAGATTTTTTTTTACAATAGAAAGCAGTTTTTAAGTATCTCTGGTATTTATGTATATTTAACTGTAAATTAACATGTCAAATAAAAAAAAGTTGAGACTTTCCAAAATAGCAATGTATGGCATGTTTACAAATGCATTTTCATTTCAATTTTTACCCAGTGTTTCACTGTGTCCCTTAAAATCTACATTTGTTTCTAGTCTATGTTGTTATAATCTTTAAAAATGCATTCGTCAGTATGTCTTGCAGCCTGTCAAGGCCTTGCAGGTTCACGCTGGATTTGGGCAGATGGAATAAAAGTCATGGAGACCTGGAGATGCTTGACATTACTTTATTCAAGAGTGGGTGAGCCACTCATGCTGCAAGCTGTGTGTTTTCCTGGGTGTCCATCGGCGAGTCCCTTTACATGTCACCTGTCCCCCAGCAGGACACCCCTAACTCCCTTATATACTAACTACAGACAAAGCCAGCAAAAAGCCAGAAAACATTGTATAACACAGTGAGATTCTGCTCACTCAGGCCAACTCAATGTTATGGGAGCTGTTTATCAGACCCAGTCTCAAGGCTGTGAGAACACAGCTTATATTAGTTCCCCAGATGTCTGGGTAAGGACCCCAGACTGCCTCCATTTATCCTACAATCCACCCATTCTGGGTTCCTCATCACACAGTCTATGCCAGGATATCTTCCACAAAGGTTCCTTTAGCCAGGAGGGCAGAGCCCTACACACATAAACTACAACAGCAGTACAGGATGCAACAGCACACAGCCTAAACACTGGCAATAAGGCTACCCCTAGGTACAGCAGCTGGTCCAATTTCCCAGCAAGTAAGACCACCCATGTGAGCCCATACCCAGAGGGCTTCAGTGGGAACTACAGCCCATTCATCATTCCACACCTTCCAGAAATGCTTTAAAATTTGACTCTGACACAGATCTGTCAGAGTCCAGCCCACCTAGGCTTGTCCTTCAGGGTTCTCAATGCTAAGGGAGGCTGGTCCAGCTAGCTCCATGGCTTTGACTGTGAGCACCCTGAGCCATTCTATACAGAGTAGTTGCCTAATGGCTGGGCCGGTCATATTGCTGCTTTACCACAACATAAATGTTAGTCCAGGTTGAATTCCACAAGGGATATTCCACTGGTTTTGAAGCCAAGTCCAATTTGAGACAGAAGCAGAAGAGATGCACCATGGGAGGCTAGCTGATGTGCTCAGGGAGATTTCAGTGTAGACCCAGCACCCTGACTGGTTAGCCACTGAGGCATAAGTATGTTCCCAGTCCACTAAGGTGTTATTCTATACCCTAAATGCAGAAAAACACAGCAGTTATAGGGGCCAATAAGGGTAACTCACAACCCTCAGGCAATATGCAAGCAAGATTCTGGTCAGCCAGTAAGACAGTGGCTGGCAGAGGGGGCCTTCCTGGATACAGATAACATACCTTTCACACCTCAACTCAGAGCTCAGTATCTTCTTGTAATAACAGTGGAGAACTCATAATGGGTCACAGGAAAATCAAAAAGTTGTCATGAAGATGTATGTCGTGGTCTGCTGGCCCTGAATAATCACCTTTAGGATGGGGGTTATGTCCCAATCCCCTAGGGCACTATTTGCAAGTTCCTCTCCAACCCTTGTCCCCAAGGGGCAACAGGAGCCACCCAAAGCATGTGGGTGGCTTTTATTTCTCAAGGCCACAACCAAGTGGCTGTTTTCCCTTGCTCTAGGCCCTCAAGAACAGGCAAGAGAATATTCCCCTGTTTTCCCATGCCTGGTTTCAGCAAAGCATCCTTAGTCTGTACCTGCAGCTAAATTGGAGCAGCAGTCTGGTGAAGCAGTGCTTCCACTGGAGCTGGGCGCCCCCTCCAACTCCTCTCATTCAGAGTCCAGAGGACAGTCCATAAGCGATTCATCCAACCCCCCAGTATAGGGGTGGCAGCCATGGCTCTCAGGCCCTGTTTTAAGAAACCATCGTGCTGTTCAATAATTCCAGCAGCGTGAGGTTGATAGGCCACATGAAATTTCCAGGCAATCTGAGATCTTGAGCCCATTGTTGTACCAAGGCCCCAATAAGATGTGTCCCTGATCACTTTCAATGATTATCGGTCCCCCATAAGCAGCACATAATTGCTCCAGCACAGCAATTACTATTTCCCAATCTGGGTGCTGTGTGGGATAAGCAGCTAAAAGTCTAGTAGCCATGTCCACACCTGTGACAGCATACTTATATCCCTCTGGACTAGGTAGTCCACCTGCCACCAGGTCAGTGGTACCTGTCCCCATACCACCTGCCCAGTAGTTCCCACAGGCTTTGGGGGATGGTTTTGCAAGCAGACAACACAGGTCTCACAAGCTTCTTGTACCTATGATAAGGTACGAGAAGGTACAACACAGGTCTCACAAGCTTCTTGTACCTATGATGGGTAATCCCCAAGTTTTGATGATGGACCACATGGTCTTTTGCCTAGCATGTAAGGCAAGGCAAGGGTGTAGCACTGAGCTACTCCCCTTCCTGAGGAACAGGAACGTACCATTTCTAGGCAGTTCTCCTTGGATAGGATATCAGCCTCATCATTCCAAGAGAAGCAAGGGTAAATGCTCGTTCACATGATATGCAGTGATTTGCTTCTGGTTGCTTAATTCTCAGAGGTGTTGCTATAAGTCCTGTCCCTGTAAGGACCTATGCATAATCATCCATTTATTTGCATGCCATGTAGAGATCCACAATGTTTGCCCCTGGCATATCGCCCAAGTATCTGTGCAAATAGTCAGTGGCAGTGCTTCACTGACAGCCATGAGCCACATGGCATGCAGTTCTGTCCACTAGTTACTCTGACTTATGCCAGTGTCATAGCAGATTGTGTCTTTCTCTGATTGAATTGCTACAACAGGCCACACAGCAGGCTAGCCCCTGCTGTACCCTTCAGTGAACCATGCATCTGAGGGAATAGGTACCTGACTTTCATGGAAGGGGCTAGCCTCCATTTTTTTCTCTAGGGACAGAAGCAGTAGATTTCCCATCTACATAAGTGACAGGACCTAGCACTTCCTGTAGCTCAGCCTGTAAGGGACAGAGTACTCATTTGTTGCAGATAAGCCCCCCACTTAGCCAGCTTAGTGGGCATCTGAGCTGTCCCACTACAAGGTTTGACCATCCAGTCCCAGACCCACCCTGGAATGGAATACGTGGTCCTTACGGTTGTGAGGGCAGTTGCTGTTGTAGTCTCTGTGGCCAACAGGGCAGCACATACTGCAGCCAGTTGCTTTCCAATCAAGCAAACTGTACCTCTGCTTCCTTCCATAGTTGAGACCAGAAACCCAAGGGTTGACTTGGCCGTTCTGACTGCTGTCACAAACCCCATCCAAACACTTCTTGTGCCACATGCCCATCTAGCTCACAGGGTCTAGCAGGATCCGGAGCATGCAAGGCCTGGGAGCACTTAATGATGCACATCGCTCCTCGGACCACTTGTTTCAAGGTCAAGGTCAAGTCCCAGTTCACTCCCTTTTTCACCAAAGAATACGAGGGATGAAAGATCTGTGCAAAAAAGGGCACAAATTCTCTCCAGTGACCCAAAAATGTCTGACGCTGTTTCACAGCGGTAGGGGTTGGATATGCCTCAATTTTACCTACCACTGATCAGGGATGACATTTTTCTTACCAGACAACCCCCAAGAATTTGACAGACAATCCAGGCCCTTGGTTTTGCTGAGTGCCCAGCCATATGACTTCAGGTGAAACAGCACTCGTGGCACTGCTTTTTCTAACTCTGTAGGAGAATCACTGGTTAGCAAAATGTCATCAGGTCATAATGGAGCAGGCATACTTCTGGAGGCTGTGGCCACTTTGCCAAGTCCTCTGCCACAAGCCCATGACAGGTAGTCAGACTATGCAAGTACCCTTGAGGGAGCACTGTAATGGTCCACTGTCCGCCTTCCCATGTGAAGGCAAACATCTTGATGCTCTGGAGCAATGCTGATGGAGAAAAAGGCATTTGCTAGACCAGCTACAAAGTGGTAAGTTTCCAGTTCATTAGTTCACTGGTCCATCAAGTCCAACACAGAAGGGACTG